AGCGAGCGCCGATCGTGAGGCAGTTTCGGGCCCGGGGAGCCCGCCAGGCCGTGCGGGCCGGGCCCGGGCTGGGCTGGAACGCGGGTTCTCCACGGGCTGAAGGAAACGCGGTGGTCCCTGGTGTCTACCGGCAGCAGACAGTGGATTTTTTTTAAATGACTTTATGTTTTGGATTATTTGGGCCCTCCAAAGATAATAGCAGATGGATGGTAGTCGAAAATACGAGCCACATATTGAAGTCCCAGACTTAAGCACCTGCTGGCACAGGTTGCTGGAGTTTCCTGGCAGCGTGCGTTGTGAGATTCAGGTTTCGGTTCTCCACCATTTTTTTGAATCCATAGCCAGTAAGGCTACATCTTGTTTTCAGTGTTAATCCAATACAATTTATTTTTCAATAGTGCTTGAAACGTTTCTTGCTGCTCTCTTGAGAAACAAGGCTAGTAAGAGATGCAGTGTTTTTATTATTGTGAAGTAATAGAGGATTTTTAGAAACCCCGTGCATTGTAAAAGAACATTTAAAATCATGCAAGGGACATCTCTTGCTCTACTTTTCTATAAAAAATTGGTTAAGTTACAAGTTTCTGGGTAGAAAGCTTATCTTGCGTGCTTGCCAGAGACTTGCAGATGCAGTAGACAATCTTGGCAATGTCACGTGTCATAATGATCCAGCCTGTCTTGTGTCTGCTGTGGCATGGTGCATGCATCGTGTGTGGAACACTTCTGAGCAACCTAAGGCTGTAGAACAGGATGCTTGTTGTAGCTGTTGCTGTCTTCTAGTAGGGATTCCTCTTCCATGAGGCATCTCTGAATTTAGGCAGATAAACAGGTTTCCCAGTGCAGCTCTTCTTCCATCTTTTTTTTAATAGTTTTTTAATCTTTTTTTTCCCACTCTCTAGATAAGTCTTTCTGATGCTGTGAAGGTCGATGAATATTGGTTTAAGAAATAAAACTGAAATGACAAGATGAGCTCACCCGTAGAAAAATATATAAGAAAATTTATCTTTAATTAATGTAAGAGTGAATATGTACTATGAGTTAGATGTGTGTCTTTACCTTTCTTAAGATAGAACAAAATATTGAATCATTCCTAGTTTGGAAGTTACTGTACCTTTTGTGCCTTCAGATTGGTTTTGGCAACATTGAAGATGATGTACTGTTATGTCCTTATACAGTGTGTGCACAAGCAGTTCAGTTCAGTTGCACAGACAATCTTCACAGAATCACAGAATAGTAGGGGTTGGAAGGGACCTCTGTGGGTCATCTAGTCCAATCCCCCTGCCGAAGCAGGGCCACCTACAGCAGGCTGCGCAGGACCTTAATTAAGGATCTTAATTAAGGCATTTTTAAACTTTGGAATGCCTTCTTTTGTAGGAAATTGGTGAATGTGCCAGATGTGCCGGTATGCAAGTATTTGGTCATTCCTTGCTATACTGTAGCAGTAGGTTCAAGAAAGAAGAATTGCAGCTGTTTATGTAAATGTGCAGATGAGTTGGATTGTGAGCACAGCCATACCAGCACAGATCAAAGCTGCACCTAGCCTAGCACCCAGTCTCCCATCCTGGCCATCCGTGGATCGTATAGTGGATAGGAATAAGACTGGCATAGAGTTGTGTTTCCTGAAAATACACTTCCAACTTCCAGCAATTTGTGGCTTGAGAGTTTTCTAGCAAAATGTATTTGAAATATTAAATAGGACAGCCCTTTCCTTTCCAGCAGTACCACTGATGTTCTCTGTTGGGTAGGCAAGCTTGTACATCGTGATTAAACTCACGGTGGCTATTCTCAAACTGTATTTAACTTTCACATTTGCTTATTTGTTGGAGACCTGAACAATGGCTCGTGTGTCTGAAATAGAATCTATTTTTTCCAGCTATGCTCAGATCTGCTGGCAGATGTTTGTCTTCGTGCAAACTTAAAGGCCGCATTTTTCTGTTGGCATTCC